TAAAAAAAAATTTATTTAATTTAGTACTTTTATTAGTATGCAAAGAAATTTGTTGAATTAAATATCTTTATTCCAACAGAAAGAGACTTGATGTGTAAGGTATTTTCATTTAAATCGAAAGGGATTTGATGAGTTATGTACTTTTATTCAAATAGGAAGAACTTTGATGAGTAAAGTAATTTATACAAATAGAAAGAGATTTTTTAAATTTAATACCTTTATTTAAATAAAAAAAGATTGGATGAATTAAGTACTTTTATTCAAATAAAAAAAAATTTGATGAGTAAAGTACTTTTCTTTTAATAGAAAAAGGTTTGATTTGTTAAGTACTTTCGATTAAATAGGAAGATATATAATTATTTGGTTACTTTTTTAAAATGAAAAGAGATTAGACATATTCAGTACTATCATTCAAATAGAAAGAGATGTAATAAGATGAGTACTTTAATTAAAATCAAAAAAGATTTGATATGTTTAGTACTTTTCTTGATGAGACTGATGCCTTATTCAGTACTCCAGAAGATTGTAGTTAATCGAAAAATCTCCTCACGGTTGATATCAAAATTGTTTATTAATAACAAGGACAATAAGAAAATAAAACACAATACCAAATATATTTGAGCCTAGTTAGTACTAAAAAGTTCGCTTTATTTGGCTCGTAAGGGAAAAGCCTTTCAGCATAAAAACCCTGGTTAAAACGTTTACAAAGAATCCGTACAAATCAGGATAATTCTTGCAACGTGCCGGATTGCCTTTGTTCCATTGTTGCTGGCCGAACTTATATGATGTAGTATTGCGCAATAAAAATAGTTCTCCTCAAAGTAGTTTTTGAAAGTCTTAGCCTTTTTACGTTAGAGGAATCTCGAGCAATCAATCACGCGTGATAAATAACGAGTAATGATAGGTGCAAGAACGCGCTGGGCTTAATACAAAAAAGCGATGCTATGCTGGACCATTTAACGATAAGCCCGAGGATACCGCTGCTGTCGATACGTTTGATTTGCGTATTAAATGTAGTGAGAGAACGCGAGCTAGTAGAAAAAAAGAAGCTCTTGCAAACATTGTGTCTCTACCGTGGTTACTACCAAAAAAAACGATACTGCTTTGTCTCACGTGTTTTACGCCTTGGCAGAGCTGTACACGCCCACGCGCTTCGCCCTACTCACTCGTGGCGTAAGATACGCAACATACCCCACCCCCTTGATAGGACATTGTTCAAAATTTAAAAAAAATTCACACACTTAAATACAAATTATAAATTATATACATACTGCTATCCGCTTATTACACTACATATTCAGTAATTAACGCTACTAAATTACAAAAAAAAAAATTTTTTTTTTTTTTTTCATAAAACGCATGGCAAAGGAGAAATACGTTTAATACCGCGCTTTACAAGACCGTTGGCAGTTTTTACTTTTGCTACGCGTGCTATACTGTCGGCTCATTTATGTACTTCCGCGACACGTCCTAATAGCTATTTAATTAGGGGGGAATTATCTTCTTGAAGGATGACTAGCGCACCCAGGCTTATATCGTATGCTGTACCTCTGTGCCCTTATTTACGGAACGTCTGCTCGTTTAAGTATTCTTTATTCTATCGGTTCTAAAAATACTGTCTCATCTGTTGTACGTGCTGCCATTGCAAAAGACGCCTGGATAGTATATCCCTGTATTCGTCCTCTAGCAAACTCGTAAACGAATTTCCAATTAAAAAATGTCTAGGTGTAAGAGCGCGCAAATCGTTCGGGTCATTAGACAGAGGCGTAATAGGACATGAGTTAAGAATTGCCTCTATTTCGAGGACGTATGCTAATAATGCTTCGTAAGATAGCAATGTCTCGCCTATAACTCGAACTAAATGATATTTAAACGATTTTACGGCAGCCTCTTATAGACCTCTAAAGTGGTGGAAACGTGGTGGGATGAAATGCTACTTGATCCCTTCATTTACTAAACTTCGCGAGACGCGTGATTCTAGTTCGTTCGCCACACCTACGAAATTAGTCGCGTTGTCGAAATATATGTTCGAAAATTTTCCACGGCGTGCCAAAAATCTACGCAAAGCTGCTAAAAATGCTTCAGTCGTTAGATCAATCAGTAGTTCTAAATAAACGGCCTTTATGCTAAAGCAGACGAATACTGCCATATATATTTTAGCGCGACCTCGGTTCCGATGTTGCTTTTCCTTGATGAAGTCGGCAGAAGTCCACGCCAGTGTGGAGAAACGGACGATTTGGTAGAAGACGACTGGCAGATAGATCACTTATCGGATATTGCTGCGTAGCGGGTTTTAAACTTCGACAATTAATGCATTTATATATTACGCGTTTAACGCTGCTTCACCGATTAATTGGCCAAAAATTTTCGCGAAGTGCGTTTAAAGTAACTTGCGTACAACCGTGCCCTATTTGATAGTGGTTTTCGTGTATTATCGCGTTTGTAAATGTATGGTCTTTTGGTAATAATGCGGGATGCCTTTACTCGTATGGCAACTTGCTCCTTGCCAATCTACTTTCAACTCCTAATATTCCAAAATTGTCTAAAAACGGGCTAAGTACAGAGAATGATGCGCAAACCTCTTTTCCGGACTTGATCAATTTGATGATCTCAAGAAATGCTTCTTAATGTATCAATCAAAACGAGATTACTCTCGAGCCTTTCTATTCGTGTACTGTTAACTAAATTATTAATCTTTTCATTTTTAAATTGCGCGAGTTACGTGCGAATCTAGTGCAATACGCGATAAGGCGCTTTTATTTGACGAACGAGGGGTCCGCCTAAATAGTTACAATCTTTTTCTTTTCCGGGATTTCAATTGGTTCTAATCTACTATGCAGTAAACTTGATTCCGGCTTGATAAGCCATGCAAGACCAGACTTCTAAAGCTTACTTTCAGGGAGTTTAGCAGGTTTTACTCCGCGAGAAATTAAATATGCGGGGTTATACTGGGACGATACATGACGCCACAGCTCGCGAGCTTTGCTCTCTTGAATTTTAGCTACGTGATGTTCTACGTAGGTTTTTAAAGTGTGAGGCGGAGAGTTGAGCAAATGCAAAAGTACCGTGGATTCCGCCTAAAATATTGTACGGCAGAAAATCATTTCTACGCCAAGCGTTTTTAGTTGTCTCTAAGAGCCGCTAGAGTAATTAGGCGCCGCAAACTTCTAGGCGCGTAAGCGATTGCATTTTAGGCGGCGCTACCTTGGATTTGGCGCAGACTAACCGTAACGTGCGATTTTTTCCCAACGTTTTAACATAAATGCACACGTTGTAAGCCCTTTCACTCGCGTCACAAAAACATTGAATTTCCAGTTTTTCTCCATCACCTTCTACGTTGCGC